AATATTTACTACTAAAAGTTTCCCGTTTCTTTTTTGTTCTTTTTTCCTCAACATATGTCTTGTTTGTTAACACTATCATGTTCTTTTTAACCAAACTTAGATTTTTTTCGCAAGTGCCCAAGAATATCTTTCCTACCATTTGTTTGCCAAATTTTATCAACAACTTTCACTTACGTTATTACAGTTCTCTAATTTTCACCACGTTTATATATATATATATATATTACTCCACTCTTCCAAAGCAGTCGAACTTTGGGATGATTTCTTGGACTCTACTTGTTTTGTAGTACTCTTCATTACCAAGCTTTGAAAAGATGTTCATGCCATAACAATTGCTGTTGTAACATATGACTTATATAAAGAGTTTCGACTACTACTGAGTTTGTTGTGTCCCAACTGACCTGATGAGCTATGGAATAAGCGAAACATGTTGTTAGCAATATATATGGTAAACATAGTATGGTTGGAAGAATATTATTGTGTAATCTTCTAATTATTGAAAATTCCCAAAGGATTAGATAAAGAATGCAGTATTAAAAATATAATAGGTTTACTACTAAAGTTGTATTACAAGTATAATTAATTAACCATAAGCATTTTTGTTGAGGAAAGGTATATTTTACATTCCAAAGAAATAATGCATCTAAAGATATTGTGCACACATAATTAATGGACAACAAGTGACCTGTTGGTCCATCTAGGCCATTCTATCAACCATACTAAACTGTAAAATAAAAATAATCCTTATCATTCAAATATTTATCAATCCTTCTCTTCAACTCCCTTAAATTAATTACATCCATCACATCTAAAGGAAACCCATTATAAAAGGCCAAACAGCCTGTGAGAAAAATAAAGCTGTTTCAGCTGAAGATGAATCCTATCCTGACAAAATTTATATTTGTGTCCTTACCATTCTCACCAGTAAAGTACAAGAAGAAAAAACGATGCCTCAACACTATCAATTCCCTTAACAATATTAAACACTTCAATCAGATTCCCTATAACTCTTCTTTTTTCAATAGAAAACAAATTAAAAAATCTTCACCTATCCTTAACTCTTCCATCCCAGGTGTTATCCTAGTAGCCCTCCTCTTAACACTTTCCAACAATTCAATGTCCTTTTTACAATCCCATTTGTCCTGTCACTAGCAGCACACTGTTTCGATAGCATAAGACTGATGAACCAGAACACCAAGGTCTTTCTCTTCCATAACACTGTTAAGGTTATTTCCATCCAAACTATACTCGTAATTCAAATTTTGATATCCCACATATATTATATTGCATTTATAATAATTAAAAGACATCTGCTATTTATTTGCCCAATTCACCAAATAATCCAAATCCTTCTCAAATGCAGCAGCAGCATCCTCACAGCCAGAAACATCCAACATTTTGATATCATCAAAATGTATATGATTTATTGGCCATTTCTTCATCTATGTCATTGAAGTAAATCAAAAATGGGTAAAGGTTTTAACACTGAGCTATGATGTACCTCACTTGTGAAATTAATCCAGTTTGACTGATCTGTATTTATAACAAGCATCTGCTTTCTTCCACCCAACCAATTTCCTATTAAACCAGCCAACCTATCCTACTTACCTACAGAGACAACTTTTAACCTTTTTTATCACACTGTTAAAATCTTTGTGAAAATCCAGATGCACCAAACCCTCACCTGTACCCTCACCTACATAAGCAGTAACCTCATAAAAGAATGTCAAAAGATTAGTAAAGCAAGATTTTACTCTAGTGTAACCATGCTGACTATCCAACAAAATTTTAAACTTTATTAAATGACTTTTCAAAACACTTTTTATTAGAATCTCTAAACCCTTTCCCACCATTGATGTAATACTATTAGACCTATAATTATTATTATAAATTTTATTATCTTCCTTGAAATGAGGAGAACCGTTAGCCAGCTTACAATCTTCTGGCACCTGTCCACTGTTCAAGGACTAAAAAATATAGTAGCAAGTGAGTCACATATTCAATATTTAACACCCTCTCAAAACCCTTGGGTAAATATTATATGGCCCAAATGCTTTATCATTGTTTAAACTTCCTATTTTTTCCTTAACAGGCTCAGATTTAATAGGGGCATCTTATTGGATCTTATTTCCATCTAACAATTGTTTAAGATGAGAAATCTTGCTTAAATCTTCATTAGTAAGAGTTGAAGAAAATGTAGAATTAATAACCCAGTTATCCTATAATCATCATATAATAGCCTTAATGTGTCAACTCTCAAAGGCCCTACTCTTATCCTGTTATTTTGCTTACCCTTAATGTATTTAAAGAAACTATTCGCTCTTATATTTACATTTTTTGCCAACTTTTTTTCACAAATTTGTTTTTAATTTCCTCTTTGACCAACTCTCTGGATCGTCTATAATCCTTCAAATATCCCATCATTAGAGTCAACTTAAACTTCATTTAAAATTCATAATGCTTTTTAAAATATTTTATCCTTTATATTCTTTGTGAGCCAACCCATTTTTATTTGCCTATCTCAGATATTTAAGAATTTATTGTTTACATTTGATCAGTATCTCCAATTAATTCAGTTGCACAATTCCCAGAAAATACGTTTTATCTTGTCTTAACCAAAATTTCATTATTCCTTGTGCCAGTAGTTAGGGCCCCAGTTCAATGTCCAAAGGATGCCTCCTCAGTGGGGGATCACCAAGCAATAGGGGAAGGGGTGCTGTCATCAAATATGATGACGTCATAGTTCCACAAAGTGTCACAAGAGGGTGCTTCACAATGTAAGTTATGTCATCAGAGAGGGATGTATTGCTAGGCTGCAATGACAGGCAGCCATGACTTCATTTTTCCCATTCAATCAGCATAACATGTCTCAACATAAATGTATTTAATCCATATAAAACACTAATTCACTAGTTAATTAATTTTCCTAACCATATAAATCATCCTAAAAGGATGTTTAACACTAATTCATTAGTTATAATTAAATCATCTTAAAAAAGATGCTCAACACTAATTCATTAGTTAATTAATTAATTTATAATTAAATCGTCTTAAAAAGGGCACTTATCACTAAATTATTAATTACATCTCCTTATCATTTATATGTCCTAAAAACTGGTTTGATTTTATGCTATAACTTAACAAAGTAATTCATATACACGTTTTACAAATGTGAATGGTGTTCTACATATACATCATGTTACTAATGCAAATTGTTCTTCAATGTGTCTGAACATGCATCATCAATAAAATGTTTATTAAAAATATGCAATGATTAAACTTACACTCTTCCTAATTTGACTTTATAACTTCACAAATTATTTCATTTTACATATGATATTATATAGTTTTATCTTATGTTTTGTAAAGGCAGATACTATATTTCCACATATGGTCATTGACTAGACTTAATTATGTTAAAACCATCATTTTGCATATTTTATCATCTGTACTAATACAATTTGCTACAACTAAAAATAATAAATGAATGACTTACTGTTTATCCATCCATTTTTTATATAGCCACTGATCATTGGCAAAGACACCTTCAAACTTATTTGGGTACACAAATCATGTGAAAATATGGAATACATTTCTAATGTGTTCATAGCTTCTATCAGACAATGTTCAGTAGGACACTTAATGTTTCACTTTCACAATTTATACATATTATTTGAATAAGACAGTTATTATAACCAATAATTTGCTTTTATCATCTTTCTACAACTAACTATAATAAATGAACAACTTACTGTTCAACTTTACTATTACTTAAAATACCAATTTGCTTATCTTTTTGAGACTAAGATGACTATTAAGAAACCACATGCATAAAATATGGACACAGACTTTTTTAAATTACAAAGGTCACCATTTGGTAACACATACAGACAGTGATTCTACAGTACACAAAACCACTGAAGAAATACTGATGTCTTTATCTTCTACACTTCAAACAACCTTTAACAAAAAAAGAGAGGAATGATCCATCTTACATACTGTGCCCTAGAAATGGTAAAAGTATTTCGTATTTCAGTTGGCTGAGAATAATTTTTTAATGTGAAAGATCTATTCAATTTTAATCTATGATATTTACATATACATGTGAAATGTATGAGATTTCATTATACAACACAATGAATTATATAATAAATGATCGATTCAAATCTACTTTTAATATCAACTTAAATGTGTGAAATATGAAAGAGAAATATCCTCATGTGATCACACCCATACAGACAGTGTTTTTATAACTGAGGGATGATGACGTCATTGTCTCAAGATGTCATCAATGACTAGAAAGTACAGGTGGAAAACTTTTATAAAATACAATTTAATTATAATGCATTGTCTACATGTATTGACATCATACCAATATTGAAAATAAATGGTCTAAACTCTACATAATCATATATCCGAGTTTCTGTATGTCACTGAAATATAAAAGTCAGTAATCATAGTTCTTTGACTTACATAGTGATAAAAACACTAATTGTATATTCTCAATAATTGACAGGAAATTTCAGTTAGCATATAATTACTGCATATTTTCCACTCAATTCTGTGCTACACTGTATTAATCAGCTTAGAACAAAATGAAAGGTTTATTCAATTCTAATTTCTAATATTTGTATGAAATTACATTATACACTAATGTATAATTATAATTTTAAATATCTCAAAAATGTTCTGAAACATTGTTTCTATATATTAGATTTCAAATACTGTATGTTGAGGCCATTGACAACCACATGAAAATGGTCAGTTTTGACTATCTATCATTAATTTAATTAATCTATTTATTTTACGACACTTTTTAAATCAAAGACAGGACAAAGGTTTCCTTTGTGTAAACATTTCCATTAGGATTTATTACACTGATAATCAATATTATAGCAATCACACACAGAATACAATAGTCTTTCTTAACACAGAAAATACACGTGCCACATATCCAGGTAGGTTTTGTTTCTTTTTTTTTTCAAGATGGTCCTTCATTCTTTGCATTGTTACTGCACTGGTTATCATTTGACTGTAGAGATCTTTGTTATTATTAACTTGTTTTCTGGTAAAGTTCTTTCTCAATCTAGCCACACTCCACAGGTAGGAATAGTCAACATTATCAGATTTACATGGAATGAGATGAATGTGCTACGTCACCCAATTACACTGATGACGATCAGCATCTGAAAGATATTTACGCGACAACGGTTGTTTAAACAAAAACACGCATATATATCATGACTAAACATTTTAATGGAAGGTCTTTAATTACATATGGTCCATCCTTCACATAAAATCCGTCTAATTCTATCACTACAGCAGTCATGATAACAAATGAGTATATATTCAGTTGAACAATAGTTTTAACTTATTTTGGTACATATATTATAACTTTATTTTAGGAAAAAGTCCAGTCCTCAGACGGATCTGTTTTGACATTTGCGGTTTCAAATAGATGAGTAAGTAACCATATGGTTGTCTCATTGCATCTTGATAAGCTTCTTCAAAATATTTGGCATATGATGGAAACATTCAACTAAGATTTGTCTCTGACATTCTTGAACAAAGTAATATATTGAGAATTTAAACTAATATTATGCATTTCTCTAGCCTGATGAAATATATTCTGTATAATATAAAACACTGGTAAACACTCGTACATTTTCTCCACTTTCACTTATAAAATCACCAATGATAAAAAGATTTGGTTTATCAGTCCGTAAATAATCATTAAAATTTTCAGGTAAGCTTTTGACAAATTGAATGTTGGGAATATTTTGCATTAATACTGTATACAGTGGTTGAAATTCACCACAAAACCATACGATGTTTTCAGGAATAGGATAAATACCTTTTTGATGATAAGTTAACCCTATGACTACGGTACTAACTTTCTTAGTAGGCAATGCAAGTGTGCATTTGTGAATTGAAAAAATGAGAACTTACCTTTTAATGGATTTCTGATTTTATTTTATAAATAGTAGCATAACATTCAATCATTTGTACAAAATTGTATTCTTTAATGAAGTTTAAAGAGTAATTTAATGAAAAAATTCCTAAAATACGTTTTAGAC